GTCTGCCCAAGTGAGCCTATAACCCACAAACACTTACAAAACGATATACTTTGGTCTGTGATGGAGAAAATACAGGCTACTTTGGGAAGGTTCCTCAGAGATGGTGTTCCAGGAATGAGCGCTGCTCTCACACTCTTGAGAGGACTGCCACTGGTCTCTGAGGATTCCATCAGCTTCTCACTGCAATGGGTTTGTTTTCAACTGCACATCCCCAGAGTTCAGGGTAGGCAGTGCACACTGAGCTGCCTCTTTCAGTATCTGGGAGTTGGGGGATTTTGAGGATCTTGATTGCAATGGCTTCAAGGTTTCTTCCCTTCATCAGGGAGTCCCATATCAACTGGAACAGCCATTTTTCATACAGTGAGCATGACTAGCACACTTCACACAAGGTGTCAAGAGATGAGCAGTGTGTCTTCCATACAGTAGCATCATGATCCCAAATGTCTACCGTGTTTGCTGAGATTTTTGAGAGACAGTAAATTAGGCACTCTGTGTCTCAAGTCATATATAGTAGCTTAGCAGGCATGTTATTCATTCTTAATCATTGTCTTAACTAGGATCAAGACTCTGGCTGCGGCTGCGGCTGCAGCTGCTTAACTGGTACACCCCAGTCAAGGCATCAATATCCCAGAGAAAGCCCCAGCAGCCTTTGCCAAAGGAAGTATGGTGTTGGTGACGGACACAGAAGCTGCAAGTACTGAGAAGGAAGCTGAAGAGGAAGAGCAAGGGAGGGCTCACAGTACAGCAGGGGTGAGACACACTCTGCAAGTTTTCAGGAACAACTGGGGAGGGAACTTAGGGGAGCCTTAGGCCCTGTCTCAACACATAAGCTAGCAGAATGCTGGGTCATCAGTATTAATTTATCTTTACCAATGGACAAGGAAACCCATGAGTTACACATGCAGCAAGTGTACGGGATCCTGGTATGTGCCAACACTGGGCAGTAACTGGCACTACCACGGTGGGCATGGGGCAGGTCTCTCAAGCCGATGTCCTCCAGCATTTCTCCCACTCTCCTTGTGGCTGTCATCTGTTGATGCTCTGTCACTCAATCCCTGATGACTCTGGCAACTGCCCACAGGAAGCTTAAGTCCAGCTGAGAAGACAAATAGAAAATCTTTCCTCCCCTATTAGACTGAGGGCTCCATGAAACAGGGATTATTCTATTTTGTTTGCTCTTGTCTCCATCCTCTTAAATTAGCACATAAAAGACACTTAATAAACCAGGGCATGGCAAGTGCCTCTAGTCCCAGCCACTTGGAGGCTGAGGTGAACCCAGGAGTTTTAGTTAAGCCTGGGCTACATAGAAAGATCTTCCAAAAAAAGGTGATCAATAGGGAATAAATAACTGAGAGAGACTGATGGGAACGTGGAACCAGACCAGAGGAGAGGGAACATTGAAAATACAGCATGTCAACCAAGATAGGAAGGGTGTGTGGAATTTAGTGAGACCGGAGGAGGGTGAGGTTGGGAGAAAAGCAGCTTCCAGGCAGGAGGAGCAGTGTGTCAAGGCCTGAGGGAGGAGGGGCACAGCTGGTTGTTGGAACTAACAAAGGTGAAAACTGAGCAGGAATGCAGGGACCTGGGACAGAGGCAAGCTGGAGAGATGGCAGGTCTCTAAGGACCTGTGGAACTACCTTATGGACAATGGGCTTCATTCTAGGGACCACGGGAAGCCACTGGATGGTTTCAAGGACGGGGTGTGATCTGAAAAATGCACATTTGTATCTTCAAATAAATCATCTGGAATCGCATGTTGGAACTGGGTTGCAGGGACCAAAGATGGAGGCAGAAAGAGAACGCCTAAGGCTACTTTGCAAGTCCAGAGACAGATGGTGGCTGGAATACGGTTATGGTGTGGAGTGGAGGAAGGGGAGGAGTCAAGGATGACTCCCAAGTTTTGGTCTGAAGAACTGGTGGCTATTCATGGCATTTGCTGAGACAGGAAACACTTAAGGAGGAACCTGTTTTAGAGGAGCAGAGAGGATGACGAATTCTGTTTTTGCCATGCGGAGTGAAAGATGCGTGTTAGCATCTGAGTTTACACTAGGGAAAGAAATTTTACATCCGGGTATGCTTTTTTTTTTTGACAGAGTCTCCCTTTGTCGCCCAGGCTGGAGCTCAGTGATGCAAGCTTGGCTCACTGCAACCTCCACCTCCCAGGTTCAAGCGATTCTTGTGCCTCAGTCTCTCGAGTAGCTGGGGCTACAGGTGGGCACCACCACATTCAGCTAATTTTTGTATTTTTTTTAGTAGAGACGGGGTGTCACCCATGTTGGCCAGACTGGTCTCGAACTCCTGACCTCAAGTGATGCACCCACCTCGGCCTCCCAAAGTGTTGGGATTACAGACATGAGCCACTGTACCTGGCCTTGGGTATGCATCTTTGGAGAAAGAGCCAGATAAGGGATGCAAATCTGAAAGTGGTCTGCATTTAGATGGTAACTGAATCCCCAAGAATTGGTGCAATGGCTGGGGAGAGTATCGACTGAGAAGGGCAGATGGCCTTGGACCAAGCACCAAGAAACTCTCAGTATGGAAAGATTCTGCAGAAAAGCCTGGTTTCAAACCTGGCTGATCGCTAGAATCACTTCGGAAACTTTTAAAACGTGAATCTACAGGAGCATGTGACTATATATTTTGAAAAACCTGTAGTAGCATTAGAGACCATTTGGTAACAGAAGACTGGCTAGGAAAGAGGGAAACAAAAAGATGGTGATGTTTCAGATACCAAGGGAAGAATTTCAGAAAGAAAGGAATCAGACAAGATCAGGACTGAATTTAGTAACAGGAAACCAGATGGCGGTGCATCCACTTGTCTGACTTTTTAAAAGTAGGGAGTTGGTGTTTGAACTCAGTAAGGGATGACAGGAAGCAGCCCAGCAGGTCCCCCTGTGCTCATGTGCACAGCGTGAGAACAGGGAAAAGGAAGGGGAAGGAAGGTGTCAGATGGCAGAAAGCTTTTCATTGGAAGTAGCATCCGAACTGAGGCAAAATGTATAGTAATCAGGCAAAGAGCTAAGCATTCCTAGGAGAGGAAATACAGAAACAAAAATATGACAAGCTAAGAAAATATGTACACTCTAGGAAATAGAGTTAGTCCTTGGCTGGAACACAAGGAATTAAGTGTTGGGAACCAGGCAACAGAATGGGGCACAGCCCAGTTTTTGTTGTTGTTGTTTTGAGGCGGAGTCTTGCTCTGTCGCGAGGCTGAAGTGCAGTCTCTGCTCACTGCAAATCTCCCGGGTTCAAGGGATTCTCCTGCCTCAGCCTCCTGAGTAGCTGTGATTACCGATGCGTGCCACCATACCCAGCTAATTTTTGTATTTTTAGTAGAGACGGGGTTTCACCATGTTGGACAGGATGGCCTTGATCTCCTGACCTTGTGATCTGCCCACCTCGGCCTCTCAAAGTGTTGGGATTACAGGCGTGAGCCACCGCGCCCCGCCCAGAGCCCACTTATTAAGGACCTTGTATGACAAGCTAAAACGTTCTTACCCTGAAGGTTAAAAAAAAAAAAAAATTTACCCTTAAGGTAAAAGGGCCCTGAAGAATCTAAGAAAGTAAGTAGTATGATTATATTTGTAATTTAGAAAGCCCATCTGGCAGCCAGTGTGAAGGATGGTCTGGGGTCAGGAATGGATTAGGGGAAGATGGCGGCCGAAACTTCCACCTGGAGGCTGTTGTTGAGATGCAGACATGGGACACAGATTCACCAGGGCAGGAGCAGTGAAGGAGAGAAGCGCGCTGAGGCGGTGAGGAATGGGAGGAGGTGGGGACATTAGTTTGCTTAGGTGACTGGCTTGTTGGAGGTGAGCCCTTGAGTTAAGGAATGAGGAAAAGACTAGCTTTAGATAAGGATAAGGATGGAGGAAAGAACATTTCAACACTGGTAGGCTTATTCCTTTCTCCAAAGGAGAAAATATGTCAGTTACAGTATTGCTAGTTCCCCTAACTGCTCCTTCTCTCTCACCTCTAAGTCACTGGGCAGCCTGTTTACTTCAAATATCAAGACTAATATAGATCAGCTTCCTATATTCAAACATAGTAGCTTCCACCAATCACTGCAGGGAGTTAGTTCATTCGTTAATTACATCATTAAAAATACTTATAATGCACCAATGACTTGCAAGGTACTGTGACTGGGGGAACTGATAAGTGAACAAGACATAACTTACGCTTCCCTCATAGAGATTACATTCTAGCTGGAGCCGAAAACTATATTAATCATCGGATTATAAACCATTTAGTTATATAATGTCGCAAGGGTTCTGTAAAAATGTAGGGTAGAATGAGGCAAAGAACAAGGCGGGTAGGGGGACCGAGGTTCCTAAATAGGTTTTAGTAGATCTGTGACCTCCCTGAAATCTGTAAAATTTTGTCTGTGTCTGTATACATTTAACGGGCCGGTGGGGAAGTGGGGGTGGGGGGCGGGGGGAGGAAGCAGAGATTCCATGCTCAGGAGTCTGTGAATCCTAAGAGATTAAGAACCGGCCGGCCGTGGTGGTTTACGCCTGTAATCCCAGCCCTCTGGGAGGCCGAGGCAGGCGGATCACCTGAGGTCGGGAGTTCGAGATCAGCCTGACCAAAATGGAGAAACCCTGTCTCTACTAAAAATACAAAATTAGCTGGGCGTGGTGTCACATGCCTGTCATCCCAGCTACTCGGGAGGCTGAGGCAGGAGAATCGCTTGAACCCGGGAGGCGGAGGTTGCGGTGAGCTGAGATCTCGCCATTGCACTCCAGCCTGGGCAACAAGAGCAAACTCCGTCTCAAATAAAAGAAAAAAAAAAAGAGAGAGCGAGATTAAGAACCACTTTACCCTTCAAGTCCATCTGGGCAATATTTATATACAAACCTTTTCCGCGGGGAAGGCAGGGAGGGATAGAGGGGGAAGCCAGTAGCTTGGCGGTCTATTGAGAATGACCCCAGCTTTACGCTTACAAACATCGAAAGTAATCACTCTTCTATGTGAGAAAAGGCAACACACTCATTAATTTTTAAAAACGTAGTTACTTAAAAAGATTGGGAGATTTTCTGTTCCTTATCAATGGAGATTTCCTGGCACGTGCCCCACCCAAGGCCCACGCCCAGAGCGCTCGAGTGGCAGGACAACAACCGCTGACATCTTCCCGTTCCGACGCCACAGGCTGCTCCGAGCTCCGCCTTTTAGATTGCACAGAGAGAAACCAGCGACAGCTTTGAGTCCAGGCCGGGTTTTCAAGCATCAAGACGGAAGTAACAGCGGAAAGGAAGTTCCAGGGCCCGCGCTGGGAAAGAGGTGGGGGGACCTAGGGAAGACTCAGGGTGCGATGGCGGCGCAAATTCCAATTGTGGCCACCACTTCCACTCCGGGAATAGTCCGGAACAGCAAGAAGAGGCCGGCCAGCCCGTCCCACAATGGCAGCAGCGGCGGGGGCTATGGCGCCAGCAAAAAGAAAAAAGTGTCTGCCTCCAGCTTTGCGCAGGTACGCAGTCGTGCTCCCAGCCTGCGCGTGCGCGTCGCGGAACGGGATGGGGCGGGACGGAGCCGAGCCAGGGCGCGTGCGCAGTGTGGGGCGCTGCGCGTGCGGTCTCTGGTGTGATTGAAAGATGCTAGCCAGTGGAGTGAAGGACTACTCTTCCCCTTCGTTAGTACACATGGGCTTACAACGCCTTGTGTTGTAAGGAGAGAAGAGGAAGTAGGGAGGTTATTACTGACTTAGTAGTAATAGAAGGACTGCCTCTTCCCCTCGAGGTCGCCTTTAGCTTGAGGTTCAGGACTTCTGAGTGTCAGTCGTTCAGAAATGTGCGTGTCTTCCCCTCGTCCATTCTGCAGACATCTACCCAGTATCTTTGAGGTGCATAGCGCCCTAATGTCCTGCATGGATGAATACAATATGTATTGATAAGTATGCTTTCTCTCATCCTGAGAAAAGTGCTTTTTGGACCCTGGGTTTCCCAATCCTAAAGCGGGTTTGGTCTTAACTCATGGGCTTGTTAAGATTATGAAGTAATGAGTGTAAAGCACTGAGCTCAGCGCCAGGCTTAGACTCCAGGGCCTCTGAGCAATCTAGGCTCCGTAATTCCAGCAATGAATTTTCAGCAGGGAGTGGCTTGATTAGTGTTTTCTCTGGCTCCTCATTTTATTCAGAGCGAAAAAGCAGAGATAGAGTGTGTTACTTTGTGCTCCTCAGCATATGGTGTGACACCGTTCACCTAGCCAGTCAGTGGCTGTTCTAGAAATCTTCTTGTTCCTTCTTCTATAGGTGATTGGTAGTGCTTTTCTTCTTTAACCTTTTAATATTAAATACTTTGCTGTAGTAAGATTTACACACAGTAGAATGCACAAATCTTCAAGAATACTGGCTCAACCACCGATCTTCAAGAATCCTGGCTCAGGCCTGTATACCAGCACTTTGAGAGGCCAAGGCGAGAGGATTGCTTGAGGCCAGGAGTTCGAGACCCGCTCCCCAACCCCCATCCAAATTTACAAATTAGCTGGGCGTGATGGTGCACGCCTTCAGTCCCAACTACAAGGGGATCACTTAAGCCCAAGATTTCAAGGTTACAGCAAGCTATGATCGTGCCATTGCAGTCCAGCCTGGGCAACAGAGTGAGATCCTATCGCAAAAAAAAAAAAAAAAAAAAGTACAGATCCAGTGCCCTTTTACATTTGTATACACCTGTGGCCACTGCCTGGATCAAGATAGCATTTCTAAGAGCGGGTGACCTTTTCCTGTGAGTACTGTCTTCCCTCCCAAACAGAGGTACCCACTATTCGGCCGCCCTTCACAATAGACTGACTTTGGGTTGGAGCATAATGTAAATGGAATAATACAGGACAGTAGGGAACATACTCTTTTGCGTCTCTCTAGGTTCCTTTTTGAGACAATGTTTTTGAGAGTCATTCATTCATTCAGTACATCTGTTGCATTGTATAAACATACACCTGATGAATATTTGAATGTTTACAGTTTTTGGCATTGCGCAGAAGCTGCTCTGAACATTCTTGTACAAGTCTTTGTGTAGATAGATGCTTTCATTTCTCTTGAGAAGTAGTGGAATTGCTGAGTCAGAAGGTAGGCACATATTTAACTCAGAAACTGTTAAACAGTATTTCTGAAAGTAGTTGCACTGTTTTTGCATTCTTACCAGCAAAGTATGAGAGTGCCAGTTGCTCGAAATCCTCAACAATACAGAGCATTGTCAGTCTTTCATTGTCAGTCTTTAACTTTTAGCCATTTTGTTGAGTGTGTAGTAGTATCTCCTTGTTTTAATTTTTTCTGATGGCTAATGATATCAATCACTTTTCATAAGCTTATTTGGCATTCCAAATCTTTTGTGGAGTGCCTAATTATTTTTTCTAATTGGCTTTTTTTTTAAAAAAAAAATTATATTGATGTGTAGAAGATGTTCATTACATTCACTTTCTTGACTAGACTCCTTTGCCAGATGTATGCATTGTAATTGCTCCCAGTCTGCGACTGGTGTGTTTTGATAACCAGTTGTGCCAGGACCAAGGAATGTCACTAGGACATATGGGGAGGAATAATTGTTTCAACCCCAAAGGGAGCATTGATTAACTTCCACTACCACAAGCTTCTGAGCGTGATCAAATGCCTTCAGGAGACTGAAAATTCCCAGTAATCCAATATGGTGGAAATCTTAACTCTCTATTCCCTGTAGGCCTTTTTTTGTATCCAAGCAGCAGCCTCTGGAGAAGTTGGAAAGGGCAGAGCATTTCCTGAAATAGTGCCTTCTTTTGTCCTGACTCTCCTTTTCCCAACTGATAGTTAACTAAAGAAGACAGGGTCTTCTGTCACCCAGGCTGGAGGACAGTGGCACAATCATGGCTCACTGCAGTCTCGACTTCCCCGGCTTAATGGATCCTCCCAACTCAGCCTCCCAAGTAGCTGGGACGACAGGTGTATGCCACCATGCCCGGTTAATTTTTTTGTATTTTTGGTAGAGGTGGAATTTCACCACCAGTAACCCAAGCTGGTCTCAAACTCCTGGGCTCAAGCAGTCTGCCCACCTTGGCCTCCCAAAGTGTTGGGATTACAGGCGTGAGCCACCGTGCCCAGTTGTCTTAGATTTTTGCCTTCCTGTGATCCTTTCATTCTAGTTCCCTTTCCACAGTGTGTAGGAAATAAGCAGGCATAAGCACAGTACCCCTGAGGGCTGCCGGGAATCTTCTTGAGGTCACCCTCATCTGTGTCACTTGCTCAACGTTTCTGTTCTGTTTCAGTTCAGTTCATGTAGCAGTAATTTATTGTACTGTGTTTCTGTTCCATCCGCAGCAGTATGCTTAAGACATTTCAAAGGATTTTTGCTTGTCCCCACACTACCAAAAACATCCCAGGAGAGAATGACGTACATACATTGTATTTAGTTTTCTACTGCTGCCATTACAAATTACCACACATTTAGTGGCTTAAATAACACCCATTTAGTAGCTCATGGTTCTGTAGATCAGAAGTCCTGACACAATGCGACTGGGTTGACCCTCTGCTCCAGGTATCACAAAGGTGAAATCAAGGTGCCGGCCGAGTGTCTGAAGGCTCTGGGGAGAAATTTGCATGCAGGTGAATTCAGGTTGTTGGCGGAATTCTGTTCTTTTGGAGCAGCAGGATTGTGGGGCCCCTGTCTTCTTGCTGGCTCTGAGGTGCTGCCCATGTTCCCTGCCACATGGCCTTTTCCATTTTCAGAGCCAGCTATGGAGAGTCTCCCTTGTGTCCAGTTCTTCTCATGCTTCAGATATTTCCGACTTCTCTTATTGCTGACCCCTAGACTCAGATTTAAAAGATTTATGTGATTAGGCAGGCCTTCTTGGATAATCGCCTTTTTAAAAAGTCAGCTGATCTGAGACCTTAATTGCATCTGCAAAACCCCTTTGTAGCTGAACCCAGATTAGTGTTTGCTTGAATAACTGGTAGAAGTTGTGTGCACACCAGGGGCAGGTTACTTGCAAGGTGGCAGGGGTGTACTGGAATTCTACCTGTCACACAAATGAAACCATTAGGAAGATATAGTAATGTCTAACCTTGAGCCAAAGCTAATTATAGGTGATTATAGGTGTTGGTGCCCTATTGTGGTGAGACACAGGAGGATGATTCATCAGTGCTGGTGATGGTACTCAAAGGAGAGGTAGGGAGGCAGAGGGACTTGAAGTTGGCTTGGAGAGGTTTGCTGGGAAGGCATTCCAGGCTCAGAGCTGTGCACATTGTAAGATTAACCCGGTTGCCCAAGGTTTCATTAGTGGGGAAGTGAGTGTTTTTCTATAAATGATTGTATTTCTTGAGTTAAAAGAGATTTTATAGGTCTTTCATCACCTACATTTCCCTATGTCAATAATTTTAGCTATTTTGATTCTTAAGTAAAAGCAAAGTATGTAAAACTTTAATGGAATTTAAAAATTTACAAAGCACATTTACATGTAGGACATTAGAGTGCTTTTTGAGATTGTTAAAGATAACTTGAATTATCATGAATTCTTAAGGTGGGTTTAACTTTCCTGAAATATGCTTGCTGTTTCTAAAGTAAAATTGAGTGCTTAGCTGAAATTTAAAGAAGTGTAGAAATTTAGATGCTTAGAAGTCCTGAGGAGTTGAAGGGAATATTTTTCATTAAAAGTATTCTGAGGAAAGCATTTATAGAAGCCTTCTTTACATCAGTGTTAGGAAATACTATTAAATAATTTAGTAGTACAAAAACAACTTTGTTTTATCATTTCATCAAGATGGCTGTCTTTAGTTCAGCAGAAATTACTACTAATGTTCATGCTTGCTAAGGGGTGGTACAAATCATCTTAGAATCACAATTCTGTGGATTTATATTTTCAGCATAACAGTTGTTGATTAATAATGTTATGAAAGTGCAGTCTTCCTTTCACTCTGGTTGTTACTTTGAAGGGATTAATGTTGGTGGGTTGGGGAATAGATAACTGTGTTAAAGTGAAAGGAATAAGGATAAATAATAGTAATTAATATTTATCAAGCATTTACTACGTGCCAGGCACTGTTCTAAGTGTGATGCCATTTAATCCTCCAAACGACCCTCTGTGAATTGATCACTTAATTTTACAGATAAAAATGCCAAGGGCATAGAGAGGCTGTGAAAATTGCCCAAGGTCATACAGTGATAGTGTCGGGATTCGAACCCACGCATGCTGTCCAGATGTCTTTTTTCTTAACTGCCTCTCTTGATATCACTTTGTTACTTTGTATATTAGAAGATTATTAATTAGATCTCTGGTATAACCAAATTCATGGTGCAGATAAATGCTTTTGGGAACAGTTTTACTGGATCAATATAGGGCAATTTAGGCTTTTCAAACGTGTATTAAAGTTGATAAAATGTACTGAGAAATCTAATTAACCTATAGACTGAGAGTTACTTAATAGCCTTTTCATTTGTGAAGCAGCTAATAAAACATCTAAAATGCAGAGGCAGTAGTTGCATCCTTAGAAGGATAGTGCAGATGATGAGAGAATCTTCTAACATTGGAGGGGCAGCCAGAGAATGCTGGACTGATTTGGTTTATTCATTGAAAAAACACTCATCCTACTATTCAACTTCTGTAAAACACAAAAGCAAAAATCCAACAAATCCTGATAATTTTAAGTCTTAAAAGTTATTCTTTTCTATTTTTAAAATTACCTTTTTTTTTTTCCATTTTTAAAGTTGACCTAAAAAGTCACCCAGTCTCCTTCCCCAACAACTATTATAATTTGTGTTTTCTACATGTAGATATAGTTTTTCATCATTGTATTTGGTATATAGCATTACGTGCCCCGTTTTTCACTTAGCATTATTTTGTGAACATTTCTGTATGTTGATAGTCTTCTCAATTAGACTTTTAAAGGTCAAGTAGTCTTTTACGACTGTTGCCTGCATTATATTCCAAGGAATTAACTGCTCATATTTAATTGACTTTATTATTGGATATTTAGGTTGCATTTTGAATTTTTGCTGTTTTAAGTAACTCTATAGTAACCTTGCAGTTTTAGACCAGGGTCAGCTATTTGCATCTATAATTCTATGACATAGATATAACTTGACATTTGACTTTTCAGTAATAAGACAAAGGATACTTTTCTCCTTTCTTTATAACCACAGACAGAATGCCCAAATTATCCTTTAGTCTGAGTCAGAGTCAAGCACACTACTGCCTGGAGAGAGGAAGCCATTGATTTGGGTTCTTCAGTTGGGCAGAGCAGAGCAGGGTGAGACCCGGGCCTTGTGAACTCCAGTTTGTTAGCCATAGGCGTGTGTTTCCTGAGTAGCAGGCTGGGTTTCTCTTCCCTGAGACTTACATCAGCTCTGTTAGTGCTGCAAAGAGGGGGCACCCCTTAGTGCTAGGCGTTCCTTCCTCTCCTCTTAGGGTGTTCATATCTTGGGGCGGGACAGTTCATCTTGTAAAGTCCTTAGTGATAATAGTGCTTTAGTAGCATGGAAATGATGCATCATTTTAATTTTATCTTATTGCATCCAAGCCTCACAGACTTGATCTTCCCTTTGACTAAAGGTCTCTCTCCCTCTCATCCTGTTGTTAGTAGACACAGGAGTCTCAGCTTGGCTAAGCTGAGCAGAAGTGAAGAGTAAGGGTATAGTATGGTGGGGGTTGGGGAGAGGAAAGTGAAGCATAAAACCAGCTCTGGCCTGGGGCAGGGGTATCTCTGGTTAGAGAAGGAAGGGAGCCTGCCACAGTCTCAGAAGCAGTAGGCAGCATGGGTATGATGTGGCTCAGTTCATGTCAGAGTGCCCTGTCTTTAGCCTGACGTCCCAGTCGGGGTCTGGCAGAGGATGGAGTGAGCAAGCCGTCAGGAGGGGTCCCTTTCAAAAACCAGTGCTTCCGTGTGTCATTTTCATCCCCTTCTTGACTCTTCTCTAGCTTGCTGCCTGGAATGGCTGACTTAGACCTCTGGTCCTCTATTCATACCACCCTCTCCTTACTCTCAGCAGATGTGCTTGTCTACCTGAATCTAACAAGGGCGCCTGTCTGGCATTTTTCTCCCCCGTCTCCCTGGGGCCTTGGAACTAAATGCCTATGTCAGAAGAAACCCCTGTATTGCCTTCCTTTCACTGGGCACACAGTACCTTTGAGCTTCCTCACTGGGATTGGGGAAGTGGAATAAACAGAAAGGGAGAAATGTAGTATTTGGCCAGGCGCAGTGGCTCACACCTGGAATCTCAGCACTTTGGGAGGCCCAGGTGGGCAGACCACTTGAGTCCAGGAGTTCGAGATCAGTGTGGGCAACATGGTGAAACCCTGTCTCTACAAAAATACAAAAGTTGGCTGGGCATAGTAGTGCGCACCTGTAGTCCCAGCTACTCCTGAGTGGTGGCTGAGGTGAGAAGATGGCTTGAGCCCAAGGAGGTTGAGGCTGCAGTGATCTGTGATCATGCCACTGCACTGCAGCCTAGGTGACAGAGCGAGACCCTATCTCAACAACAACAACAAAATAATAAAAAAAGAAATGCCGTTTCTGAGCATCTCTGGAGTGGAAGAAACAGCTAACTCCACTGCCTGAGGATAGGACCGTGGGAGCTGGCAGGTCTGTGGATGGTTCTGTAATCACGGTTGGAAGCTTGGGGGACTGCATTTCCCCCTGCCCTTTAGTGTGTCCTTTTTGCTCTTTAACAGTTCAGATTGTTTTTTTCCTCCCTGATGGCCACAGTATTGTATCAGTAGTTATATTCTTTGAGAAACTAAAACTATAAAGTTAAAACTTAAAGCATATATGGCCCCAGGAAATCGCTTTCATAGCCTGTTTACCCTGAACTGGACCTGAAGCTGTCCCTAGTGGTAGTTTCTATTTTTTTTTTTTTTTTTACTTTGGACGTGGTGCTTACTGGGTAGCTCTCAGGGTTATCTCTCTTGCTCATTTTATTTAGGCCACTTGTAGGCCCGGTCTCCTGACAGTCCAGGGCATTGAGTAGTCCTGTGGCCCACTCTGTGAATGGTTAGATGATTGGGAGAGTGGTTGCTTTCCTTCTGCTAATGCTGGCGGGTCTCCTAGGAACAGCTCACCCCATGTACCTTCCAGTGGGCCTGGGCTTTCTCCTTTGCCTTTGCACCACCACCTCCTGAAAGAGCAGATCACTGGTCACCCTTCCTACCCTGCATGCCAGCTCCACCTTCATTCTCAGGAACCAGGAGTCACCACCTCTGGCTCATTCGCAGCTGGGTGTGCCCCTTGGGGAGGCTTCACTTGGTCACTGTATTTTTTTTTTTTAATCCTCTAAATATTTTAGTGTGAATTTCTTAAAACCAAAGTCATTCTCTTACGTAAGGACAGTTAGGAAAGACTGCATATGGGGGAAGGATGAAGTGAGGGGCAGTCCAGACAGAAGAGGGGTGTGAACAGAGGAGGGCCCAGGTGCCCACGTGCAGAGGCCCTGGAGAGGAGTGTGGGAAAGTAGTGAGGAGAGATCGTTCCGAATTTTATCAAATTCCGGGAGTTAACTGATGCAACACTGATATTTAATATACAGATTTTATTCTTGTCCCTTATCTGGTTCAGAATCCAATCCAGGATCACACGTTGTATTTAGCTGTATATCTTTTTAGTCTCCTTTAATCGGAACACTTCCTTAGTCTTTTTATCTTTTACGACTGATATGGTTTGGCTGTGCCCCCGCCCAAATCTCATCTTGAATTGTAGCTCCCATAATTTCCATGTGTTGTGGGAGGAACCCGGTAGGATATAATTGAATCTTGGGGGCAGTTTCTCCCATACTGTTCTCATGGTAGTGAATAATTCTCACATCTGATGGTTTTGTAATGGGAAACCCCTTTCACTTGGTTCTCATTCTCTCTCTTGCCTGCTGCCATGTAAGCCGTGCCTTTCGCCTTCCACCATGATTGTGAGGCCTCCCCAGCCACGTGGAACTGTGAGTCCATTAAATCTCTTTTTCTTTATAATTTACCCAGTCTTGGGTATGTCTTTATCAGCAGCATGAAAATGGACTAACACAATAAATTGGTACTGGTAGAGTGGGTTGCTGCTTTGTAAAGATACCCCAAAATGTAGAAGCAACTTTGGAACTGGGTAACAGGCAGAGGTTGGAACAGTTTGGAGGGCTCAGAAGAAGACAGGAAAATGTGAGAAAGTTTGGAACCTCCTAGAGACTTGATGAATGACTTTGACCAAAATGCTGATAATGATATGGACAATGAAATCCAGGCTGAGGTGGTCTCAGATAGAGATGAGGAATTTGTTGGGAACTGGAGTAAAGGTGGCTGTTGCTATGTTTTAGCACAGAGGCTGACAGCATTTTGCCCCTACTCTAGAGGTTTGTGAAACTTTGAATTTGAGGGAGATGATTTAGGGCATCTGGCGAAAGAAATTTCTAAGCAGCAAAGCATTCAAGAGGTGACTTGGGTGCTGTTAAAAAGCATTTCGTTTTAAAAGGGAAACAGAGCATAAAAGTTGAGAAAATTTGCAGCCTGAAGATGTGATAGAGAATAAAAATCCATTTTCTGAGGAGAAATTCAAGCTGGCTGCAGAAATTTGCCTAAGTAATGAGGAGCCAAGTGTTAATCACCAGGACAATGGGAAAATATTTCTAGGGCATGTCAGAGACCTTTGTGGCAGCCCCTCTCATCACAGGCCCGGAGGCCTAGTAGGAAAATACGTTTCAGGTGCCTGACCCAGGGCCTCCTCTGCTGTGTGCAGCCTAGGGACTTGGTGCCCTGTGTTCCAGCCACTCCAGCCATGGCTAAAAGGGACCAAGGTAGAGCTTGGGCCGTGACTTCAGAGAGTGCAAGCTGCAAGCCTGGCCAGTTTCCACATAGTGTTGAGCCTGTGGGTGCACAGAAGTCAAGAATTGAGGTTTGGGAACCTCCACCTACACTTCAGAGGATGTATGGAAATGCCTGGATGTCCAGGCCAAAGTTTGCTGCAGGGGCAGGGCCCTCACAGAGAACCTCTGCTAGTACATTGCGGAAGGGAAATGTGGGGTTGAATCCCCCACACAGAGTCCGCACTGGGGCACTGCCTAGTGGAGCTGTGAGAAGACAGCCACCATCCTTCAGAGCCCAGAATGGTAGATCCACCAACAGCCTGCACCGTGTGCCTGGAAAAGACACAGATACTCAATGCCAGCCTGTGAAAGCAGCAGGGAGGGAGGCTATACACTGCAAAGCCACAGGGGCAGAGCTGCCCAAGACCATGGGAACCCATTTCTTGCATCAGTGTGACTTGGATGTGAGACATGGAGTCAAAGGAGATCATTTTGGAGCTTTAAGATTTGACTGCCCTGCTAGATTTCGGACTTGCATGGGTCCTGTAGCCCCTTTGTTTTGGCCCATTTCTCCTATTTGGAATGAATGTATTTATCCAATGCCTGTACCCTGATTGTATCTAGGAAGTAACTAACTTGCTTTTGATTTTACAGGCTCATTGGTGGAAGGGACTTGCCTTGTCTCAGATGAGACTTTGGACTGTGGACTTTTGAGTTAATGCTGAAATGAGTTAAGACTTTGAGGGACTGCTGGGAAGGCATGATTGGTTTTGACATGTGAGGACATGAGATTTGGGAGGGGCCAGGGTGGAATGATACAGTTTGGCTGTGCTGCCACCCAAATCTCATCTTGAATTGTAGCTCCCAAAATTCTCACATGTTGTGGGAGGAGCCTGGTGGGATATAATTGAATCATGGGGGCAGTTTCCCCCATGCTGTTCTCATGGTAATGAATAATTCTCAGGACATCTGATGGTTTTATAAGGGGAAACCCCTTTCACTTGGCTTTCATTCTCTCTCTTGCCTGCTGCCATGTAAGACGTGCCTTTTGCCTTCCGCCATGATTGTGAGGCCTCCCCAGCCACGTGGAAATGTGAGTCCATTAAACCTCTTTTTCTTTATAATTTACCCAATCTTGGGTATGTCTGTATCAGCAGCATGAAAACGGACTAACACAATGACCTTGATACTTGAAGAGTACTGGCCACTTATTTTCTAGAATGTTTCTCAGTTTGGGCCTGTCTGATATTTCCTCATGGTTAGATTTGAGTTATATATTTTTGACAAAAATGGATAAGTGATGCTGTCTTCTTCTCAATGCATCCTGTTGTGGCACTTGATGTCAAATTACTAATGATATTAGATTTGAGCACTTAGTAAGGTGGTATCTGCCAGGTTTCACCAATGTGAAGTTATTCTCTTCATGTTTGTATTGAAGTATATTGTGGGAAGATACTTTGAGACTATAAATATCCTATTTTATTTCATACTTTGCCAGTGACTTTTAATATCCATTGATAACTTTTGCTTGAAATAGTTATTATTGTGGTGGTTGACAAGTAGTGATTTCCCAATTTGAATCTTTATTCCTTTTAGATTTATTAATTAGAATCCTATTGTGAGCAACAGCTTTCTCTTCTCTTCCATTCATTCATTTTTTTTTCTATTTTACTTCTTTTTTTTTTTTTCTTTTTAGAAATGGGGTATAGCTATGTTGCCTGGGCTGGAGTGCAGTGGCTATTGCCAGACACAGTCATAGCGCAGTGCAGCCTCCTGAGTTCAAGTGATCCTCCCAGCTCAGCCTCCCAAGTAGCCAGAACTACAACAGGCCATTTATTCATTTTTTAAAATCAGTATTTATGTCATGGATTTTTATTTTATTCTATGGGTTATAATCCACTACTAGCTTTATTCATTCCTTCTTTTATAAATTTATCTGTAGTAGCTTTACTGAGATATAATTCACATACTATAAAATTCACCCTTTTAAAGTATGTAATTTAGTGGCTTATGGTATATTCACTGAGTTGTGCAATCCTCACAATATCTTATCTAATTTTAGGATATTCCTATTACCCCAAAGAGAAACTCATTACCCATAAGCAGTCACTTCCCATTCCTCTGTTCTGCCAGCCCCTGGCAACCACTGATCTACTTTCTGTCTCTGAATGTGACTACATATCTCATATAAATGGAATTATACAATATGTGGCCTTTTGTGTCTGGCTTCTTTTTGTTAGTGTAATTTTTTTCAAGGTTTATCCATGATAGAGCATGAATCAGTATGCCATTTTTGTGATTGAATAATATTACATTTTATGGACATACTACATGTTGTGTTTTATTTTTTATTTCTTTTAGAGACAGGAGCTCACTCTGCTGCCCATGCTGGAAGTCAGTGGCACAATCATAGCACACTGTAATCTTGAACTCCTAAACTTGCCTCAGCCTCTAGAGTAGCTGGGACTACAGGCACATGCCACCACAACTGGTTAATTTTTTATTTTTATTTTTTGTAGAGACAAAGTCTTGCCACATTGCCTAGGCCACTTTTGAACTCTTGGCCTCAAGCAGTCCTCCTGCCTCAGCCTCCCAAAGTGTTGGGATTACAGGCATGAGTTCCTGTGCTTGGCCCTACCACATTTTATCTCTTCATCAGCTGATGGACATTTAAGTTGTTTATACCTTTTGGCAATTATGAATAATGCTACTATGAATATTTGTGTACAAGTTTTTGCATGGACATGCATTTTTCATTCTCTTTGAGTGTATACCTAGAAGTTAAATTATTGGGTCATATGATAATTCTGTGGTTAACATTTTGAGGAACTACCCAATTTTTTTTTTAAAGGGTGTTTTTGCACCATTTTATGTTCTTACCAGCAATGTATGAGAGTTCCAGTTTCTTCACGTCTTTGCCAGTATGTGTTATTGTCTTTAATTGTAACCATCCTAGTGAGTGTGCATGGGAATTTCATTGTGATTTTGACTTGCATTTCCCTAATGACTAGTGATGTTGAGCATCTTTTCACGTGCTTACTGGCTGTTTGTATATCTTCTTTGAATAAATTCTTTGCCCTTTTAAAAATTGAATTGTCTTTTTGTTGTTGAGTTGTAGAGTTCTTCATATATTCTGGATTTATGTATATACTGGGTTGTTGCTTAAGTTTTTGAGATTGGTCCAGTAGAAGCCTCTTCAAACTGGCTCCTGTGTCCTTTAGTATGCCCGTATAATTTTTTGGATGCTGTTATGGACTGAGTTTTGGTACCCCCATGCCCCCAGTATTTATTATTTTGTCCTGACCCCTAGTACACCTCAGTTACATTCTGGAGATAGGGACTTCAGGGAGGTAATTAAGATTAAATGAGGTTGTCTGGGTGGGCCCTAATCCTGGATGACTGGTGCCCTTATAAGAAGAGGGAGAAACTCCAGGGATGCACACAGCCTCAGGAGAAACCAAACTTGTCAACATCTTGTTCTTGGACTTCTAGTCTCCAGAACTGGAGAAAATAAATTTCTATCGTTTAAGCCACCCAATCTATGGTATTCTGTTATGGCGCCCCAAATAAACTGACACAAGTGCTTTCTTTCTGACACCACAAGATGTTCTAGTCTTATACTTTCCTGCTCCAGCCCTAGAGTCAGCCATTTATTCATGGATCACTGGTTCTTAGAGAATAATACACTTGCCACTCAGTATAGGTATGTGGTGAATTGGTTCCAGAACCTCCTGTGGATACCAAAATCCATGGAACCTCAAGTCCCTGATATAAAGTAGCATAGTGTTTGCATATAATTTGTGCACATCCTCCTGTATACTTCAACCATGTCTACATTACTTATAATACCTAATGCAATGTAAATGCCATGTAAACAGTTGTTATGCTGTACAGTTTAGGGAATAATGACAAGGAAAGAAGTTTTTACATGTTTAGTTAAGATGCATTTTTCCCCCACCAAATGTCTTCAGTCTGCGGTTGGTTGAATCCATGGATGCAGAACCCCCCTATATGGAGGGCCGATTGTATTTAGAAAGGATGATCTGAATGTTGCTTTGCCTACATTTCATTGTTTCCAGTCTTCTCAGTGGACAGAGCTAGGAAATTTATGTGTGTGTATACCTGCAATCCCGACACCTCTGTATCTATTTCTATAATTATCTGCCTGTGTATTGAAAACTGTGAGTTCATACTGATGACCTCTAGCTTCAATCCAGTTCCACAGTGCTCATTCTGGCCTTCCCCCTTTTCTTATTTGCTTTTCTACATTTGCTGTGTATCTTAGAATACATATAAAGTAGTTTCATAATTATTAACATGTGCCCCTGTGAGAAACAAACTTACCAACTATGTATGGTTCTTTTTGGCCTTTAACCTTGGATTACATAGTCAAAATACCATATTCATAGTTACTCAGGTTATTTCTCCCTTGCCTCCCCTTCAGTGTGGTTGTGTTATTTGAAACACAAATGAATTTGTGTTTATAAGGTTTTTAAAATTCTATTTTTTATCCCCTACCCCGTCCTTGTTGATTTTATTATTTATTTTTTCAAGTATATGAAACCTTAACATGGTTCAACAAGTCAAAACTCTATAAAAAGCTATACTCAGAGAAGATTTTCTCTCTTCTATTTCCTTCCCATCTCCCTCTCCATTCCACTGTGTTCCCCTCTGCCCCTGCAGGTAACCACACTCAGTTGTTTCTTTCCAAGTTATCCTTCCTGTGTGTTTGGCCACTGCATCCCAACCAGAGATGCTTCCTTGTAAGGAGCTTCTCAGCATCTACATCTCCAGTGCTGATGCTGGCATTCAGTCATGCCACTCTGTCTTGTTCCTTAACATTGATCAGTTCATCAATGAATCACTCATTATTTGGTACCTACTCTGTGCTAGGCACTGGGTTAGAAGCAGGGACAGAGGCTGAACTATGAAGTAAAGCAGCATGTTTTGAGCCCTCTGTGTATCCTCCCTCTCTGAATCTCCCTGTCTCTCCTTGTTCCCCTGTCTTCTGATCTGTTATTCCCTGCCTGTATCATAAAGCTGCTGTTTTGTCTAAACTATCAATCATATATACAATATATACTAGATGTTACTCTTACAAATAGTCAGTGCAAAATAACATTGACAGCTGGCTAAAACTGCACAAGGTAATGTTTGTTACTGATTAAATGTGATGGGAGAATCAAATCTTCCTTATCAGACTGGGTCTCCCAGAGTACAGGTACCTGGTAGAAATATGATTACCATAAAGGAAAAAATAATTGTACAAGCAATAAAAGTTATGTAAAAAAAAATACTAAATTTCACCTTTGTTGTAAAATTAAAACCGACATGGACGAATCCCAATGAAAATAATCTTAGTATAGCATAAATGAAAATGGAAAAATTGGAGACTATTTTTGCTATATAGAAAATGGCTAAATGGATATCGCACCAGAAAAGACAGAATATAGGAAGGATGGGGAGCAAGAGGCAAGGCTGGAGAGGAGGCCTGAATTTGTTCCTAATCTCAAGGAAAGTAGAAACCACTGGCCAGTTTTAAGTAGTGAGCATCATCTTGCTTGCATTGAAAAGTGTGTCACTGGCTGAGCTGTAGAGAATGGGCTGGAGTAGGCAAGATGAGTACTGCACAGTCCTACCTCTGAATTTTGTAGCTCAGGAAGTTACCAGATAAACGCAAAGGACTGTGGGAGGAAGGGAGAGGTGGGTGCGGAGGGAGGGTGGGAGGAAGGAAGAGAGAGATCACTGTGGGTACAGATGGTAGGAAAAGGATGAGGAATGGGCAGCCTCTCAGTTCTTAAAGTTGACATTTGCACTGAGCTTGGAGGGAAGAAAAGCTAAGAAAGACCTGGGAAGTGGAGACGATGAGGTGAAGGGGAATCCACACAGAAGGTGGCAGCCACAGAGGAGAGGGAGCGCAGGGCTTGGAGTCCTTGGCTGGAGCCCCGACTCATGTGGAGAGACCTGGAGAGGCGTCAGGGAAGGTGTTTGAGGAGAGAGCACTCAAAGAACTATTGCTGCAGTGTGAGAATGGTTCTTGTCTTCTCCACTCCTCTTCCCCCAACATGAATGAATGTATATATTCATATTCCACCATACTCTGTTACTAAGTAAGTTGAGCACCTTATCAGCATAAGGAAACCAGAATAAGTTGCTAAAATTCCAGCTGAGAGTAGATAAGTTGTGTTTTGGTTAATCATGTAGTGTCTTAGTGTCTTCCATGTTCCATGTGACAACATGATGACTTTTAGCCTTAACTCTTTTTTTTTTTTTTTTGAGATGGAGTCTCGCTCTGTCACCCAGGCTGGAGTGCAGTGGCGTGATCTCGGCTCACTGCAAGCTCGGCCTCCTGGGTTCACGCCATTCTCCTGCCTCAGCCTCCCGAGTAGCTGGGACTACAAGTGCCCGCCACCATGCCCGGCTAATTTTTTGTATTTTTAGTAGAGATGGGGTTTCACCGTGTTAGCCAGGATGGTCTCGAGCTCCTGACCTTGTGATCCGCCCGCCTCGGCCTCCCTAAGTGCTGGGATTACAGGCTTGAGCCACTGCGTCCGGCCTTAACTCTTTTTTTGAAGGATGCATGCAACCACTTTGGAAAATGATTTGGCAGTGACTTGTTAAGTTAAACATACACTTACCCTATAACCCAACCATTCCACTCCTAGGTATTTGCCCAAGAGAAATGAAAACATCACAGAGGCTTTATTTATAATAGCTGAAGACTGACAGTGAACCAGATGTCCACCAACAGGAAAATGAATAAACAAATTGGGGTGCATCCTTACAGTGGAGTACTATCGTGTTGAGTAGTGTGCAAATACAATGAAACAAACTGATCCATGCAACAATATGGATACATCTCAGAAACTTTTCTTTGTTTTTGAGACAGCAGAGTCTTAGAGTCTCACTGTCACCCAGGCTGGAGTGCAGTGGCATGATCTTGGCTCACTGCAACCTCCGCCTCCTAGATTCAAGTGATTCTCCTGCCTCAGCCTCCCGAGTAGCTGGGACTACAGGCACATGCCACCACGCCTGGCTAATTTTTGTATTTTTAGTAGAGATGGAGTTTCACCATGTTGGCCAGCTGGTCTCAAATTCCTGACCTCGAGTGATCCCACCACCTTGGCCTCCCAAAGTGCTGGGATTATAGGTGTGAGCCACCATGCCCGGCCACATCTCAGAAACTTTATGCTGAGCAAAAGAATCCAGACACTAGAGTACATGCTGTTAGATTCTATTTATATGAAGTTCTAGAACAGGCAAAAGGAATGTGGTAGAAATTAGAACAGCAGTTGCCGCTGGGACTGGAAGGTATTGGCGAGGATAGGAATTGTGCTAGGGTAAACTTTTGGCAAAACTCATGACAACTACATTTAAGATCTGTGCATTCCATTGTATGTAAATCACATCTCAATTTTTTAAAAGTTAATTGAAGACTGGGAAGATTGGAAATTGTATTACAGATCAGAAGTGGCTTCTTACTTTGGCTTGTTTTTTCTTTGTATTGTTAGCTTAAAGGTTTTTTGCTTTAAGCCATATTAGCCTCTTTGTCAGGGCACTCTGGCTGCTGCCAGCTGACCTGTGGCCCTCCAGCTTTTTTTCCATTTTCCTTCCTTGCAATGCCCATGTCCTGTTGTGCCCCTTAAGCATACCAGCTCCAGTCTGGGTTCTCTGGCCAACTAGACCCTTAAAGGGGCTGGACCTTTTTTGTCTTCATATTTTAAGACAGAGTTCATAAGATCAGTGCAAGTCAGAACTGTGTGGTGTCATGGAGATTGTGAGGGCTTTAGAACTGGCCCAACCTAGGTTTGAATCCAAAAGTCAATCACTATGTGACCTTGAACCTGTTCCCCTGGGCCTCAGTTTTCGTTTCTGTATGTTGGGGATAATAGCACCCACTGTGGAGTGGTTGCCAGAATTAAATGACCTTACTTGGGTAGGACAGCCATCCCTGTGCTTAGCATTTAGGGTACCTGGGAATCATAGTAGGTGGGGGTCCTGGCCTGTTTCTCCTGTGGCTTCTGCATAGCAGGTGCTACTCCCCGTGTGGTGTGCCCTCCCCTGGGGCAGGCTACCTGCTGGAGCTCTGGGCACACTGTCTTCCCTTGCATGCCCTGTGGCATCATCGTATGCCCTGTTGAGAGCAGAGGTGGGGAACTCAGCTGGAAGAAACTGACTTCTTCGAACTATTTTTATTGTGTTTGAAGGGTATCAGCATGGAAGCCATGAATGAGAATAAAGTGGTGCCCTCTGAGTTTAGCACAGGACCTGTGGAAAAAGCTGCCAAACCTTTGCCATTTAAGGATCCCAACTTTGTGGTAAGCATCGAAGGTATCAGCTGAACAAACAGCGAAATGCCACACCTCAGCCTCAGATCTTGCTGGGCCTGCAGGCAAGGTGGCACTGGCATTCTCTTCTCCCTCAGTCCCAGTCGCCTCCTTCTCCCCCGTGGGTGAGATGGAGACAAAAGAAGAAGGGTTCTTCCTGTGGATCTCTCAATGGGCCATATCCCAAGGATTTGGGTGTCCTTTGTGGATTCATTAAAGGATACTGTTTGGAGGGTGGGTCATTTCCGTGATGATTGTTCCCCTAACCTTTTCATTGGTCTTACAATCTTAGACAAAGCTTGAAATATTAAGCTAAATGAGAAGGATTTCCTCATTAGTTTCGTAAGGTAGATCAAAGCTGTTGTGCTGTTGAGTGGAACACAGGGTACTCTTCCTTTCATTCTTGAGACTGGTAATAAATGGCAGCAGTTCAACGATTATAGTGTTACATTTTTTTAATGAATTAGTTTTGGAAATACAATGTTACCAGTGTTTGCAACAGATTTTGGTATTCTTTTCCATTTTATTTTGTCATTTTTATAGGATTTAAAAAAAAAACCAGACATACAGAAGGTTTGTCATACTGCAGCTGGAGCTTTCTCACCTTTTCCAGGATCCCCAGTTTGCTTGGCAGAGACTTGCCCCAAGAAGGGAGTTTAGAGACGCAGTCATGGATTTAAATCTGACTTTGTAGTAAATTTATCTTAAAGTATGAAGAAATTCATGAATGAATTCTACAAAGTTAGACCCAATAAAGGCTTTTTTTTTACGTGCATATAAAGAAGTAGCCTTTTATTTCTACTCCCAACACAAACTAACTCAAGGGTTTTGACAATCTGAAAACCTCCTTTTTAAAATAAGATTAACATGTTAACGTGTACAGTGAAATACCTTTTAAAAAAAGTCTCAGGGGTCTAAATGATTGTTGACAGATGAGCGGTACATTACAGTTATGATTAAGCATAAATGTCAGATTCTGAAATGGTAGTCTCCATTGGTTTTTGTTTCTTCTAATCCATGCCTTCAATTCGAGCACTCTGGCCACGGTGGCGCAGTAGCTGGCAAGAAGAACAGAACCTGGAAGAACCTGAAACAAATCCTCGCTTCCGAAAGGGCATTGCCGTGGCAACTGAACGATCCTAACTGTGAGCTGGCTAGAGCCTTCCATGTGTTTACAATGTTCAGAGTAGGAACTGTCTTATAACAAACCTACAGTATTTTATTGTGTTTGCATCATCGTAGGAAATAATTTTTAGCTTGAGAATTTTACAGTGGCATCAGTGTGGGCAGATTATGTGTGTATTTTCTCATAACTGTATCTGTATTGAGCCTGTTTGTTTGTGTTGTCATGGATGTGTGGGTTTTAGTGTCATAGGTCCCAATATGATAATATTGGTGTTTCTACTAGACAAACTTCTCATTCAAAAGTCTACTCTTAAAATGTGTTTCCAAAAACAAGGTAGCCCAAGTATAATGCCAGATTTAGGAGAGTTCCTGACAACCAGCTTAAAGTCCAGCTCTTTTACTTTGTGAGCCAGTGTTTAGCAAGAGTAAATACTTCATGCTGCAGGGTGTCCAGATTTATATAAAACACTGTTATATGTTCTGTTCAGCTTCACTGGGAAGTACAAGTTCAAAGTTCTCACCATCTCCTGCTCCACTACACTTCTTTCGTGGGGGTGACTCACATGGGTGACAAGTGAGCTAGTCAGTCATTCGTCTGGGTGTGGACACGAGGGTGTCGGGATGCTCAGATCCAGTTATTGGCTTGTTTGGCATTTCATCACCATCAGCCCATGTAGTGTGAGATTGTGAAAATCGCTGGTGGGCAGATGAGCTTTCCGGTGCTTCTGCTGGCATAGAGAGAGCATCCCTGGTGACAGGGCAGGGCTAGATCTGGAGCCTGCACTTGGCCTGTGACACACTGCATTATTTCTGGGAATCCTCTCCTACTTCTCTAGTTAATCTCCAGAGACTTCTGTCACTACTTAATCACAAAGGAAATTTTCAGGAATATTATCAAATACTATTTTAGGAAAAAAAAGAGAAGGGATTTGAATGTTTTCAGTTTCGTTTAGTTATCTTTTTTTTTTTTCCAGACTTCAGTATTGATGCTCCTCCATCCTTTAAGCCAGCTAAGAAGTATTCTGATGTTTCAGGTCTGCTTGTGAGTATCTCTCTTATAACATTAAATGGAAAAGATTTCATAGTAACGTCTAATTAGACAAGTGTTGAATGTTGACCACGGCTGGTCCTGCCTGGAGCCCGTCTACAGTGATAGGTGATAGGTTTGTGCAGTGTGTTCATTGCTGCAAACAGGCATCTGTGGGGCAGCCTGCGGGGAGGATTGAACCAGAAAGCAGGAGACTCCAGTTTCTCTTCTTTACCTCTGCTAGTTAACTATATGAGATAACATGAAAGAAACAACAATGTATTTCTTTTTTTACTGCTGAAGTTTTAAAAACCTGCATTTTAGATGATGATTGTATTTACAAAACCATGTTTAAACTTCTCTAAATAGGTGCTTTGGCAAAGGTTGTGACATTGAAACTTACTTTTAAGCATCAGAACCCCTTTTCCAAGTGAAATCTTTTACAGAATCCAATACATAAACAGCCTGGAGCCACCTTTCTGCTGCGGTCCCATGTGGATCTGGCCACCTGTCTTCTTCCCCACTCCTCACCACAGTGACTGCTCAAGCGCTTCTGGGGAACACAATTCAGGAGCTGCCAGCATAGCTGGAATAGTGGAAAGCAGGCAGGTTACTAAAGCTCAGGAACCTCAGAGCACCCCCATTTCCTTATTTGCAGAAGTTAGAACCTAAGATTCATCTTAATCCTTTTTCATCTCATAAATTTGGAAAAATAATTTAAGTGCTTTACATGTTAATGAAAATATGACTCCAACTTATGTAACAAATTGGCCAAATTAATTATGTACAGAGGAGAATTGTCTCCTTTGTTATTATTATTAATATCCCTGTTTCTCCCTGATAATATTCATCGTTCTGAAGTCTACTTTGTCTGAAATTAATATCGCTTTCATTCATGTGTGGATGGTATGTCTTTCTTGATCTTTTCACTTTTTTTTTTTTTTTTTTTTTTTGAGACAGAGTCTTGCTGTGTCACCCAGGCTGCAGTGCATTGGCACAGTCTTGGCTCACTGCAGCCTCTACCTCCTGGGTTCAAGCGATTATCCTGCCTCAGCCTCCCAAGTAGCTGGGATTACAGGCGCACGCCACCACACCTGGCTGATTTTTGTATTTTTAATAGAGATGAGGTTTTGCCATGTTGATCAGGCTGGTCTCAAACTCCTGACCTCAAGTGATCCTCCTGACTTGGCCTCCCAAAGTGTTGGGATTACAGGTATGAGCCACCATGCCCAGCCTATCTTTTCACTTTTAAACTATCTATATATTTAAAGTGGATTCTTGTTGAAAGCATATTGTTGAGTTGTTGGGTCCTTCTTTTCCTTTTTCCTTTGGAGGTAGGGTCTTGCTCTTCTGCCCAAGCTAGAATGGAGTGGTGTGATCATAACTCACTGAAGCCTTGAACCCCTGGGCTCAAGTGGTCTCCCAACAGCAGCCTCTCAAAGTGCTGGGATTAAAGGCGTGAGCCTCTGCACCCAGTGGATCTTGCTTTTTATCCAGTCTATCAATCTAAGAAATGTTGTCCTCAGGCTATTCATATTTAAAGTGATTGTTGATATGGTTGTATTTAAATCTACCATCTCACTAGTTATTTGTTCCATTTGTGTTTGCTTATTCCTCTTTTTCTGCCTTCTCTGGATTTATTGAGCATTTTTTAATAGACTGTATTTTTCAGAACAGTTCTAGATTTATGAAAAATAGAGACAATAGTATAGAAAGTACCCATATAACCCAAACTCAGTGTCTGCTGTTATTAACATCTATGGTATATTTGTTACAATTAATGAACCAATAGTGATATACTATTATTAACTCAAGTCTATAGTCTATTCACATTTCCTTAGTTTTTACCTAAAACTATATCAAATTTAGTCATCACGTCTCTTTAGACTCCTCTTGGCTATGCCAGTTTCTCAGATTGTCCTTGTTTTTAATGACCTTAACAGTTTTAAGGAGCACTGGTCAGGTATTTAGTAGAATCCTCCACCACTGGAATTCCTCTGTTTTCTCATGATGATAAAACTGGGGTTAATTGAACATTTTAAAATTCTGTTTTCTTATTATTTACACCTCTTTTAAAAATAATGAATGGTTACTTTCATGTTTAAAATACACATTTTAAATAACCTGAGTCTATTTTCAAATCCTATACCACTTTGTGTGTATTGTGAGGGTCTTCTGGTAGTGAATTTCTAATCCCAGTCTCTAATTCTTTGTTGTCATATAGTTTACTTTTACATATGCTGCAAACAAAATACTTGGCTGTTAATTTGTGCTCTAGACAGTTAGCTTTTAGAGAAATAAAAATAAGAAAAAAAAGAACTTTCTTTTATCTTCATTTCATTCTATTTCCACCTTTTTTCATTTTGTTGTTTATTTCCAAGTTGCAGTCTGATGTCATATTCTTTCTACTGGAACAGTTTACTGTGCTTTTCTTATAAAGTAGATTTGCTGCTAATGAAGTCCTTTCTTTTTTTTGTTTTGTCAAAGAGCCTTTATTTCTTCTTTTTCTTTTCTTTCTTTTTTTTTTTTTTTTTTTTTAAGACAGAGTCTTACTCTGTTGCCTAGGCTGGAGTGCAGTGGAACCATCTTGGCTCACTGCAGCCGTCTCGACCTCCCAGGCTCAGGTGATGCACCCACCTCAGCCTCCCAAGTAACTGGGGCTACAGGTGTGTGCCACCATGCCTGGCTAATTTTTTGTATTTTTTGTAGAGATGGGATTTCACGCTGTTGCCTACGCCTGGTCTCAAATTCCTGGGCTCAAGTGATCCTTCCCGCCTTGGTCTCCCAAAGTGCTGGGATTACAGGCGTGGAGCCACTGCACCCAGCCTTGTTCTTCCTTTTTGAATGATATTTTCAGTGAGTATTTTTGAATGACATTTTCAAGTCTGAGCTGACAGTTTTTTCTTTCATCACTTTTAAGATGTCAGCAGTTAAATGTTGTCTTTTTGCTTCCATGGTGAGAAGTTTGATGTAATTCTTACCTTTGTTCATCTCTACGTAATGTTTCTTGTTTGACGGCCTTCAAGATTTTCTCTTTGTCTTTTGTTTTCAGCAGTTTGAATATGACTGGGTATTATTGAATATGACTCAGGGTATTATTTTTCTGGTATGTATTCTTGATGTTCTCTGAGGTTTTGGATTTGTGGTTTGGTATCTGTCAAGAATTTTGGAAAATTCTTGGCCATCATTTCTTCAAATATTTCTTTTGCCTTGTCTTTTTCCCTTCTTCTAGGATTCCAGTTACACACATGTTAAACTATTTGATAGTGTCCCAAAATTCTTGGATGCTCTGTTCTGGTTTGTTTGCTTTTTAAAACTCTTTTATTTCATTGCGGTTCAGTTTGGATGGTATCTACTGATGTGTCTTCAAGTTCTTTACTCACTGTATAGAGTATACCAATGAATAAGCCCATTGGAAGCATTATCTCTTTAACCGGGTTTTTAATTTCTAGCTTTTCTGTTTGATTATTATAGCTTTCATGTCTCTGATGAAATAACTTTCTTTTGAATTATTTATTTATTTATTTAGAGATAGAGTCTTGCTCTCTAATCCAGGCTAGAGTACAGTGGTGTGATCACAGCTCACTACAGCCTCAAACTCCTGGGCTCAAGTGATCCACCTGCTTCAGCCTCCCAGGCAGCTAGGACTACAGGTGTGTGCCACCACACCTGGCTAACTTTAAAAAATTCTTTTATAGAGAAGGGGTCTCACTGTGTTGCCCAAGCTGGTCCCGAACTCCCAGCCTCAAGCCATCTACCCGCCTTGGCCTCCCAAAGCGTTAGGATTACCAACGTGAGCCACTGTGCCTGACCTGAAATAACTTTCTGTCTTGCATGTTGTCTCTCCTTTAACTCCTTCAACATATTGATTGTAGTTATTTTTAATTTCCTGTCTGATAGTTTCAAAACCTCCATCATATTTGGGTCTGGTTCTGGTGATTTCCTTGTCTTTTAAGACTACTTGGTCATTAAGTCTATATATATATATATTTTTTTTAAGTCGTCAAACACATAATAGCTGTTTTAAAGTATTTATCTGCTATTTCCAACATTTGGTTCATCTTGGCCAGTTTCTATTGACTGCTTTTTTTCTTAACTGTGGGTCACATTTTCCTGTTTCTTTGCATCTATGAGTTTTTTTGTTGTATACTGGACATTATGGATGATGTATTATAAAAACTCTAGATTCTGTTATCCTTCCCTGAGGAGTATTTTTTTTTCCTGTGGTAGCTTAGTTCCTGACTGATCACCTTGAATGGGTGTAGGTTTGGTTTTGCACTTCGTTAGGACAGGTCTGCGGAAAGCCCATGTTTCCCAAGCTTCTTTAACTTAGTTGCACTTAACTTCTAAGTTCTTTATCCTCTACCAGTCTTAATGAAGTTTGGTGTTAGGCTTTGTTGTAGTGAGACTAGAATAGATGGTACTCAAGGGCATGATTTTAATTCCTAAGCTGTGGCCTTTCTGTTATCTTAGCTAGGTGCCAGGAGTGTTACAGCAATCCCTATTCTGGCTGGGCTGGCACTTCAGCAACTCCCAGCACTGCTTAGCCTCTGGAGTTTCTGTTTCCCTCTTAACCACTCTCCAGTAAGACCTATATAGTCTTGCCTTGAACATGCATAGTCCAGCCCATGGTTATGGACTCATGTGGAATCCCAAACTGACTTTTGCCTCCCTTCCAAGGCAGCTCCCTCTTCTGTTACTCGGTTTTGCCAATATCAGGTGTTTCAGTAGCCCCTGAAGCTGATCTCTGCCTGCCCAGCTCAGTGGGTCCACTGAGCTCTGCATGAGCTCCACCTCTGCCCCACGGTCAGGAAATTGGCACAGGCAGAGAGAGTTTGGATGATCCTGGAACTTACCTTGTGAGCTTCTCTTTTCTCAGGCATTGCAGTCTTGTGCTACCTCTTGTCTGTTGCCTGAAAATGGCTACTTCATATATTTGACCTGTTGTAATAGTCGTTTATGGCAAGAGAGCTCATCTGGCACCAGTTATTCTGTTATGGCCCAAAGTGGAAATCTCTCCCTGTGTCATTTTGAGTTTCTGGAGGCCACAGTTATGGCCAGACTTGAGGGTGGTTCCTTAGAATGTCAGCTTTATCCTTACTATTTCAGGCAGCTCATCTGCTAGCACAGTGGTTTTCACACATTAGGAGGAAGGAGAATCATTATTCCAGGCCCCTTTATGTCATTGGCAGTGGACTTGTCATGTTACACATTACCTAAAACCTCTTGCCCCACTGTATGTAGGAAATAAGAAATTCTGAATAGACAAAGAAGTCTCCCAGTTCATTAAAGGACAATCCCACAGAAGAATCAGCAAAAAGGATATAAATAGGCAATTGCCAGAGAAGAAATATAGATGACCAATAAGTAGATATTCAGCTTCACTGGTAATTAGGAGGAAGACTCATCAAACAGGGAAGAAATGAAGACATTTGCTTATACATTTTGGCACCAACATACAGAAATGGATGTCTTCATACATTGCTGTTTTGAGGTGGGAACATACACTGGTACTGCTTTTTTGGAGGACAATTGGAACAGTCTGTTGAGATTAAAAAAAAAAAGCAAAAGCATCTGACCTTGCAATATGCCTCATAGGCAGCTCCCTAGAGAAATAGTGTGCACAAAGAACTTTATGCAGAAATGCTTATGAGAGACTGCATTCGCAAAATGCTGGAAGCAACATCAAGGTCTATCACAGCGGATATTTTCATACTGTTCTTGAGCTCAGTGCATAGTAACAACATGGATAAATTTCCAGGATGTAATGTTGATTGAAAGATGCAAAGCAATATAAATAGCATGGTGTTACATATATAAAATCAACACACACACACACACACACACACACATTGAGTTATTTCTCTTGTGTGTTTACATATGTGTATAGGGGTAGACATAAAAAGTCTGGAAAGGTGCCCACTTAGCAGTGGTTTCTCCAGGGGAAGGCAGAGGACTTTTGGATGGTAGATGGTGGTAAATGAGGACTTTAGTCTTATCTGTAATGTTTTCTGTTCATTTTTTTTTAGGGGAGAACATGTTCGTCTGTTGCTTACATAATTTAAAGTTACATAATTAAAAAGTAAAGCCTAGTTCACATTTACATGGACACACACCTGTTCCCAGCCAGCCACATGACTGTTTCCCCTGTGCGTAGGCACGGCAGCCAGCCATGCAGGGTCACACCTGTGTTCAGCGCTCATTACAGAGCTATGAAAAGTGTATTCTGGGTGAGACGGGCAAGCTGTGAATACTGCCTGTCACCCTGCAGCAAGGGGGGCCTGAAGCTGTTTGCTGGATTCCCTGTGGGAAGTTGGCCTTTGCTTATTTCACTCAGGCTCAAGGGATGGCATCCAGAGGAGGGTGGACTGTAGGTGTGAAGCTCTTGACTTGTTCAACTCTGGGGTGTCACTTGGCATCCTTCTATTCAGAATCCTAGATGCTGGCCCCTGGGTCCAGTCCAGTCTGTTCAGGTTTTTGTTGGTAACTTTTTTGTTGGTGCCACAGGATCTCTGTATTCTGCACTGTTTATTCAGCAGCGCTCTTGGCAGTGAGGTCTGAACTTGGGCGGGCCGGCTCAGCACAGTTTGCTGGTAGGAGTGAGGCAGCCACAGACATGGAGCTCGGCCGAGGCTGGTTCGTCTACGGAAGCCAGATGGTCCACGCCAGACACACATGCCTGTGCTCTGCTCGGAACTGCAGGGCAGCCTCTCCTAACAGTTAACCTAACTTCCCTCATGGCCAGGATCCCTCAGAAGAGACTTGTCACTGTTTTTCTAATTAAGCCGTTCCTTATATTACTGTCATTAAAGGAAATGTGGTACAGAAAGGTAACATCTAGGTCAAGCCAAGGGATTGAAGTTTTATTTTATATAGAGCTATTAGTTAATCTTAGCCTTTTAGGAATAATCCCATTTCCTAACACACAGCAGTTAAATACTTAGGGGAGTCCCCAGTGGCAAAATGGAAGACTTTTTAGGGCATGAGAAGCCTATAAATAAGTTCCCGACAGCTCGTTGCTTTTTTATTGAGTGTTCCCTCCCTTCCTAAATCACAGATTACTGTGAGTCTAGGTCCGCACAAAGATGATCCACATTAAAGTAGACATCTACACTTGAATAATTGGATGTTATCTATCTAGACTTTAATGGCATCTTTTATAATTTTTTTAAAGGAGCTCAAAATGACTCACCGTCATGTCTTTTGTTTCAAAATCCGTAGAAGCCCATGTACTTTGAGGTATATAGTTAGTGAATTATTTTCTCCACTTGGCACACAGGGAACAGAGACCAAGTGAGAATTTTGATATGTCTGGGAAACAAGTTCTCTCTTCCGCGATGGTCCCAATTGTCTGTTTGTTTATTCATTCATTAATCATTTGTTTTGTTATACAAACCTGACTGGAGGCCCTCTGTGCACTCTGCATTGCACTAGGAGCCAGGCTACAATGATAAGCAAACCACAGGGTTCCTGTCTCATGGACCCTCATAGCCTAGACCATCATCAAAGAGTCATGTAGATAATAAACTTTAAAGCAGCAGAGATGTGCATTCCACTGGAGTATTTTTGCTGCTGTGAGAGTGGAGGGTGAGGCTCTGACCTCCTGTGGGGGTACAAATAGGCTTCCCTCGAAGTGTAGCTTTGGGGCTGAGTCCTGAAGAATGAACTGGTGATTACTGAGCAAAATGGGCCACAGTTGGGGTCCCCTGCGGGCATGGTAAAAGGGAGGAACTTAGAAGCCAGGGATAGTTGGAATCAGAGTGGGGACGTGTGGCTGAGGAGGAGGCTGAGGACAAAGGAAGGCCCAGAGCCGAGGAGCTGCACTGAGGACTTGGGCCTTTGTCCCAAGAGCAGAGGAGCCATTTTGAGAGATTTTATGCTAAGGAATGACATGATCAGAATTGCACATTGCGAAGAAGATCCTGGCTGCAGTTCTAGGGGAAGGGTGGCTGTGGACGGTCAGTGATGCACTACAGAGTGGCTCCGGGAGGCGTGGAAGTGGCGCAGGGGGTGTTGGAAGAGCTGGAAAGGAGCATGCTGGAGGTAAATGGAGCGCAGCAGGGAGGGCCACATGCCCAGCATGCAGGGCATCAGCTCCTGCCTTGAGTACAGACCTGGGACATTTGTTGGAAAGAGGCAGGAGCGGGAGGGATGACCATCATGAATTCACTCTTGGACCTGTTGCAGCCCTTGAGGCACCAACAAGAAGGGTCCCAGAGTCTAATGCGGTTATTCCCCTTCCTCCTGTCCGTACCCTGAAGTGTTTCTGGAGTCTGGGAAGGTTAATGAGCCTGTGCCACAGTGAGTGATTTCGTGTTCTTGGTGGCAGAGTAAGACATAATGAAAATATATATCACTTTCAGTGAAACAGAAAAATTTTTTAAACTTATACTTGAACTTATATCCCTACCAGCAAAAACTCTCTGGTAGGGATATAAAAATTTTTTAAACTTATACTTGAACTTATATCCCTACCCACAAAAACTTTCTGCCCTTCCCTGTGCCTCTTTCCAGGCCAACTACACAGACCCCCAGAGCAAACTGCGGTTCAGCACCATTGAAGAGTTTTCCTATATTCGGAGGCTGCCCTCTGACGTCGTCACCGGCTACCTGGCCCTGAGGAAGGCCACAAGCATCGTTCCCTGAGCCCGAGAAAGGGAGATGAAGTGGAAAGCTGTTTCAAAAACAGACTCTGGACTCGTGATTTTGTTTCACGGAAAACAAACTCGTTCTGCTGTCAATCTGAAAATGCCAGTGCTGTGCCTTGGAAAGAATGTTTGGCTTTCATTTAAGGGTTTTTTTGAGTGTGTGTTTTCCCTCCAAGTGTGATATTTCCTGCTGAATTAAATTATACTTCAGTTGTTGCCTCAAGTAAAGGTGTTTGACAAGAAAATACAATGAAACTATACTTTTCATTTATCCCAAGTCCCTGAATTTTTGTTTTAAAGTAGTGAACCCCGTATAACACATTGAAAGACTCTGCAGTGAATCCACAACAGGTCTGGATTACTTCCAATCCTGGCGACCCCCTTTTAGAGCGTGTTAGTCTTTGTCTCTGATCAGAATGCTTGGAAGAATTCCAAAATTGGGTCCAGAGAAGAAAGAGGCAAGTAACTTGTTCTGTCCCACTGGGCTGGTTCTCACCTGAGCCTCTGCCTCAGATCAGCCTCCCCTCATCTTTGGGAGTGTGGGGTACCAGCATTCACACTCTGTCCCAAAAGGGCTTTCGTCTTGGTAGAGGATGCCGCCCCTCTGGCTGCAGCCTGCTCCAGAAAGGGAGTGTTTGCATCTCCATCCTCCAAGAAGAGGAAGCATTTTCTTGGCCAGAGAAAGGAGAGTGTCGAGACAAGTCCTGGGCCTCTCTGGGCCCTATGCCTGCATTTCCCCAGGGAGGACAGTGGAAACAGGCCCTGGGGCTTCTGGACCACAGCTGCCTCTGCTTTGGGGGATTAGGCACCAGGTGTCCTTTCTCTCTGGGGAAAGCCCTTCTTCAGGCTTAGAGAAAATAAAACAAAGCAAGTCAGCTGGGAGAGCAGCCTGTGCAGGTGGCAGCTGCCTGGAACCAGGCTCCTTTTCCTCCAGGCTGGCAGCCCCATGATCCTTCAGCACCTTCCCAATAACCGTGAGAGCGGGGGAGGTGCTGTGGGGCCTCCCCCTGTCTCCATGACAAGGGACCTGAGGGGATGGCCAGAAGAGGTGGGGCCTTTCCTAAGCCCAAAATCACCGAGCAAGCATCAGAATCACCCGGGAGCCTGCTGTGACACAGATTAGGGAGCCTGTCTCCCCGAAGTACCTGATCAGTAGGTGGTCTGGGGTGGGGCCCAAGAATTTGCATGTTTGCTTTGATGATGCTTTGAGGTCCACTTTTCTGATAAAATCAGTGGTTGCTGAAAGACTAGAGGCTGCTGCTTGGTTTCCGCCTGCACTTCCTGCCAGCTGTCCGCCTAGGAAAACGCCAGCTTCTGTTTTGGTAGAAGCAAGGAGTGAATGAGCCAAGGGTCCTTCCTGCTTCGCTTCCACCTTCTATTGTACAGAGAAAACTTGGGGCAGGTCCACTTCTTTTCCATGAAGGTCCCCAGTTGGACAGTGCCCTGAAATCACTTCTAACACTGATGCTAGGCACCACCTCAGACCTACCGCTCAGACCAGGGGCAGGGCCCAGGGTTGAAGAGGGAAGCCCTGCCCTGCATGTGTTCACCAGGAAAGGCCCACAGACTGCTGCTCCTGGAGGCCTCTCAGGGTTTCTGGATGTGTGTGTGTTCCATAAACCCTCAGAGAGTCACCTGGAGACCTGCTAAAATGCAGGTTCTTGGGCCACATCCTAAACCTTCTGACCGACCCAGGGAGCGGGGCCCAGGAAGCTGCTTTTGACAGATATTCCCGTGTGATCATCACGCACAGAGGAGTGAGAGAACCAGTGTTCTCCCTGGGCAGAAGGGAACCTCACCCTGCCTTTCCCATTCCCCTGCCAGGCTCTCCCCGCTGACATTGTTTCGCAGGAGAGCTGTGAATTCTGAAGATTAGGTTGCTTCTCACCCCAAGCTCCAGAAGTCTAGGCTGAGCCAAACCAAGCTTCAAGTTGTGAGTATTTTGAATAATGAGCCCTTGCTCATTAATCGATCCTGTACTGAAATAGCCCTTGCTGTCCATGCTTTAGCCCGGTGGTTCTCAGGCCGGGCTGCATGTTAGCATCACCTGTGTGGGTGGGGGTGTCCAGGAGAGGGACGGTGACGGAGGTTTAAAAATGCCCGGAGATTCCGATTCCGCTAGCCTGCGCAGGGGCCCCGACATAGTATTTTAAACTCCCAAGATGCTTCTCATATGCAGCCAGTGTTGAGAACATTTGCTGTAACTATGAAGAGAATATTTCATGTAAGGTGCATTTTCTTATTCTCAGATCAGCTGGCTCTTTCCATCCTAGGGCCATGAGCAACTTGCAAGGGGTTTCTTTGGGGTGTGTGTGCATGTATGTGTGAATTTAGGGCTCCTTTTTACATGGCATCCCACACTGGAGTCAGAAACATGAATGCCATTGCAGATTCCTCCCTCTTCATTCCTATATCACCCTCTTCGTCTTCTACTTGGCCCTGCTCCAATCCTCCTTCAGAATCACCTCATACCCTGCCTGACACTTTCAGTGTCCTCCTAACAACTTTGAATGACTTTGCCCATCACAGCGTATCTACTGATCATTTGCCTCTGATACGAAGTCAATTCTTGTATTGGTCTGCAGGATCCAAAAGAAAAACTCAGCCCTTTTAAGAGAAAAACAATTAGCTGGACTTGAGAAACCCTCTTAAGACAAAACTCAGGTCCAGTCTGCTCTGACTGGAGTTTGACTCTCTCTTAATCTGGTATTGGGCATGGTTTAAAACAACCTGTAACGTTGAAGATATGCTCTTCAGAAGCGGAAGGAAGTCCCTGTAGGTGAGGGGGACCCATTTTCCCCCATCTCCCAAGTTAAAGCATGGATCTGTCCAGATTTTAAATGTGTTTCATAATTCATTTGGCACCTGGTAGAGGGCTAAACATGTTTGCAATAAGAAATCTCTAATTGCTGAATCCATAGTCATTGGAAAAAGATATCAGACATTTGTTACTGTTTCCAGTGTCTGTAAATTGGGAGTGTTTAACTTAGTAAAAATAAAAGGTAACGAAAGAAATCAATGGACTATGGAACTTGACCCCATTATCAAATAGGACAGATATCCTGGGGAGAGATTACAAAATATGGCCTCTCACAAATGCGTGAAACAATAGTGCCATTTAAAATAATGTTCTATCTGATGGACATATGTGGGCCTTATTTGGATCCTCATTCAAACAAACAAAAAAAAAACTTTAAAATTTTGAGACAATTGGGAATCTGATATATTTTGATATCTGATAATATTTTGGAATTCTCACAAATAGTTGTGATTATGCTATTGCAATGTTAAAATAAAGAATTCATATTTTTAGAGACACCTACTGAAATATTTATGGATGGAATGATATGACATCTGGGATTTGCTTCAGGATGATATGAGAGAGAGGAAGTGGATGAGAATCGTGTTGAAATAAGATTGGCCATGAGTCAATTATAGTTAAAGTTGAGTGATAAGTCCGTGGGGGTTCTTTATGTTATTCTACTTTTGGTGTACGTTTGCATTTCTTCATAATAAAAAAGCTTTCAAAAAGAATGTGATGTTTTTATTACTAAAAATAGTGATGAAATCTTACCCAAAGTGAGTGCTTTGTGTTAGCTTGCACTGGCTTACAGATGCTGAAAGTTTGAGAAATGCTGCCCAAATGGTATGAGGTCTTGAATAGAGGAAATACGCAATTCCTAAAACATCTAACAAAGAATATAGAAGAAAGGAACCAAAGACAGGTCAAGTTGTCCTGTAAAGGTTCTTAATAGAGGTCTTCACTGTGTGTTCCGTTGTCCCGGAGGGCTGTGTATTTAAGAGTATTTTCTCTGTAGAGGTTAGGAAGCCTGACAGTGAGGAGACCAAAGACTTCAGCTCTGAGGTTCTAGTGGGGGATAAATCTTAATAGAGAGGGCTGTGGATGCATAGAATGACTGACTATGGTTTGAGTAATACCTGTTGTTCTAATTCCTGATAGAATCTGTAGTATTCATTTATGTGCATAGAGAAAGAAATTAGGTTATCAAAGAATGATGCACCTGCACAAATTGTTTGGCTTCAAGGAATTGCTTTTGCTGAATTTCAACAGGGTTTATGCTTTTGTGCCCATATTAAGGAATTGCATTGAAAGAGGTCGGGAGATATGGTCCTACAAAAATGCCTATTACATTTGTCTCAGAAATGTCCCACAGAACCCCACTCCCCCACTGTGGTCCTGCAGGGTGAGCTTTTTGGTTCAGGACCCAGACATGGAGCCTGATAGCCTGGGTTTGAATCTCATTTCTACAACTGAGTAACTCTGTAGTCTTGGGCACATTACTTGACTTATTCTTTCCTTACCTGTAAAATGAGTGTTATAATAATGTCCACCCCACGAGATTGTCAGGATCAAATAAGAAAATGTCAGAGAAGCACTTAACCCAGGACTGTGATCACCCACCTCCCCTCTGGTCTGTGCATTAGAGAGGCAGAGCTTTCCTGACTTGTACCTTCAGCTTGGTTATATTTCTCATTTCCTTGGCTCCTAGGACTCTTGGCTCATGCCTGCTTGTAGTAACTGAATAACATCATATGATAGATGTTTCCATGTGCTCATCTTATTGCTGGCTCTATCAACTATTTTCCTTGCCTTCTTCATTGCTTATTTTGACCATTTTTTTCATCCTTTATTCTGTGTATTCTAATAAGCTTGCTCAACTTTTTTATGAGACAAGGGAAGGAGTAAATAGCTGAAGAAGCAACGATCTGTGATTGAGTCCAGGGGAGAAAGAGGGGTTGAGGGATTTGTGGGGTGAATAGCAGAGGACTTTAGTGAAGGAACTCCTCTAGGATAATGAGGGAGACAAAGAGCCAATAGAAATCACCCACTGGACCTCTTAAAAATCACTCATGTTTTATGCCTTCTTTGGTATTCACCATGTATACTACCGTGTTTCCTATGTAATAGCAAACCTTAAAACCCTAAAAACAAAAAAGGGGGGGGACTAGTTGTTTACTTGTTTTGATGACCAGCTTGAGCAGGAAAATGAGGGATCCTTCTTCCTGTTGTAAACACAGAACTGTATCCAGCCTGGTTTTCTTCCATAACTCAGTGGCCTCCGTCTACTTGTATTTCTGTTCCAACTGCCGTCAAAGCCTTTCCTGAGAAGAGTCAGTGTTTTCCTGGCCTACAGGATGCTGACTACTGACAGGTGCACAGTGTGCACCAAACACACCACTGCCCTCCCCTGGGGTCAGGAAGATGAGTCACATCCACCAGCGGCTTGGAGCCTTGGGTCTTTCCAGTGTGAATCCTGGAGGGCATAGCCTGGGGTTCTGCAGTGTGGAATACTGCAAGGGCTTTTATCAGGGAGCCAGCCAAGGCCTTGGTGACTGATATCTCCCCTAATAACATCTGGAAAGGAAATTGCTCACTAGAGATAAAGATGAGAATTTCTGATCTTTGCAATGGAAAATTATTACAGACAACATCAGACCTCAAAAATGAGGTTCCTCAAAGTATGCATTTGTACAATTCCCCCCAAACTCCTTGCTTGGCTCTTTGGAAGGTTTTGTAGTAAAACAGTAACCTGGCCAGGCGCAGTGGCTCACGCCTGTAATCCCAGCACTTTGGGAAGCCGAGGCGGATGGATCACCTGAGGTCAGGAGCTCAAGACCAGCCTGGCCAATATGGAGAAACCCCGTATCTGCTAAAAATGCAAAAAATCAGCTGGGCATGGTGGCGCATGCCTGTAATCCTAGCTACTCGGGAAGCTGAGGCAGCAGAATCACTTGAACCTGGGAGGTGGAGGTTGCAGTGAGCCGAGATTGCGCCATTGCACTACGGCCTGGGGAACAAGAGCGAAACTCCGTCTCAAAAAAAAAAGAAAAAAGAAAGAAAGAAAAACAGTAATCCAAGGATTTGTGTGCACTTGTTACCATTTTCTTTGAAATTTAATGCTGCCATTTGTTTGCTTACGGAGTGGCACAGAGCCCACAGCATTTGGCTCTGCCTCAGAGGCAAACATGGCTACAGGAGCCAAAGAGAAACGCAAAGGAGGACACTCTAGGAATGGGATCTGTAAGTGGGGACTGCCGGGTGCACATGGGGTCTTGGAGAGCACAGGCAAGGCCTCCAGGTAGCATCACCTGGGCCAGGGCCCTTCTCAGAGAAAAGAGGACTGAGCAATGTGGATGCTTTCCCAGAAAACTGATTTCATTGGCCTACAACAAGGTTTATATGTTGTTTGTAAGAAGTCTTTTGTTTGTTTTTCTTCTTTATCTTTCTTCTCTATTTTGAGTAGAAAGTTAAAAAAGCCTACTACTATGAAGTCAGATTTAGATATTGAAAAATACATACAATACGTTGGTAAGTGAACAACAATAAAATCACAAATATAGACAACCACCTTTTTGTAATTAAAAAAAAAATCGGTAAGAGGATGTGAAAAATGATTTATGCTAAGGAGTTGATGATTGTCTTCTTCAGAAAAAGGAGTGGATTTGGGGTGGGAGGATGAAGAAGGAGAACTTGAACATCTTAGAATTTTTGGAAAGAGTACAATATAATTTACAAAGAGTGAGAGAGACTCAATTTAGGAGCTCTGGGCTGGGAGGATTGCTAACACTTTCCTGTGAGCTCGGGAAAACTCCTTGAGGTTAGACCATCAGTCCTCTGCAGCCTCTGTCCATAAGGGAAGCCCACCGCCACCCATCAGGATCCAGGGTCGCTCCGCCCTGCTCTGTGTCACAGCCCCTAGCCCTCCTGAGAGCACAGCCACTGCACCTGATGGCACACCATGCACCCCACGCACGTTGTTTCCATCTAATGCCTACAACAATATTGAGGCAAGTGTAGCCGTGGGCTCACTCTACACCTAAGAAACCTGAGGTTTAAGAGAGAAACTAGAAGCAGGGAAGGCTGTGAGCTGGGCCCCTGCATCCACGCCCAGGACTCCTTCTCAGCCCCTGTGTCCTCTGGCAGGAGAAGGTTGGCTTAGAGCTACCTGCGGAGGGCGAGGAGAAGCAGAGGAACACTGCCTGGACACGCATGAGAAGCACATCACCCCGTGTCACGTTCTGTGATGGTTAATTTCATGTGTGAACTGGGCTAGGCCACAGTGTTCAGACACTTGGTCATATGTTGTCTGGATTTTTCCTTGAGGGTGTTTTTTAGATAAGATTAAGATTTAAACCAATAGACTTGGAGTAAAGCAGATTACGCTTCATAGTATGTGTGAGCTTTATCCAGCTAGCTGAAGGACTTCGAGGAAAACAAAAGTGAAGTCCGCAAAGAGATGAAAGAAGCCTCTAGGCCCTCAGACTCACATTTCCCTGGGTCTCCAGCTGTCCATCTGCCCTGCAGTTTTCAGACTTGCCAGCCCCGACAGTCTTATGAGCCAATTCTTTAAAGTAAACCTCTCTCTCTGTATATATATATATATATATATACACATATATATATATGTATACACACAGCCTATTGGCTCTGTTTTCCTGAAGAAACCTGGCTAATACACTTTGTTTAAAGCAGAAGGGTGGGTGGGCACATTTAATTTAAACTACCTTCCACTGGCATTACCACACCTAGCAGTGAGCATTGCACATCTTATATGCTTCATAAATATTTGAGTGGAAACCAACAGTAAAATGCTGAATGGCTTTGCCAGATGTAGTATTTATTTAAACTATTGTTTTGTTCTCTTATGAGTCATTGAATGGGAAGGAACCGAAATTGTCTGGATGAAATTGTGAGGGGGTAGAGAGGGCTGGGAGCAATAGGTGGTGAGGTGTCCCCCATTTCTAAAGATTCTATGACCCACATTATTCCAGAAATTCTAGCTTGTGTTTTGTGTCTTTCTTTCTCTCCTTCTCTTTCTTTCTTTCCTTCTTCCTTCCTTCCTTTCTTTCTCTCTTTCTCTCTCTCTCTCTCTCTCTCTCTTTCTTTCTTTTCTGTAGACAGGGTCTTGCTCTCTTGCCCAGGCTGGAGTGCAGTGGTTCCATCATAGCTCACTGCAACCTGGAACTCCTAGACTCAAGGGATCCTCCTGCCTCAGCCTCCCGAGTAGCTGGGACTATAGATACACTTGGCTAATTTTAAAGTTATTATTATTGTTTTGTAGGGACAGGGTCTTGCTTTGTTGTCCAGGCTGGAATGCAGTGATGCAAACATAGCTCACTGCAACCTGGAACCCCTGGCCTCAAGCAATCTTCCTGCCTTGACCTCTCAAAATGCTGGGCTTACAGGCATAAGCCACCACGCCTGGACTGTCTTTTTACTCAGCGTAAGCAGGGACAGGGAAAACCAGAGGGAGAGCTCTAGGACAGGTAATGTTGGCCTCTTCCCCGACCCTAGCTGCCCTGAGCCTCCTGCTGTGCAGGTCCCTCCTTAGGGAGAGGCCTGATCCCATTTTGTCATTAGTCACAAACACCACTTACTGGCCATTTGCATAAGCAGGGCCCTGCCCTGTTCCCTCAGGACTTCCTCAGTACCCTCTGTGGCAGGCACTACTGCTTCCAATTTAACCCTGGGGGAAACTGAGGCTCAGCAATTTTGGACCCCCTGCCCAAGC